TGCCGAGCACGGATCAGTCGAAGCCACAAAAGAATCTCGAACACTAGGTGTCCACTTGCCTGAAAAGAGCAAGAAAAGAACCGTCATTTCACTTCCATTCTCAAGTGAAAATCCAAGAGGTTCTCATCCCAAAATTCCGCGAGAGTTGTCGAGCAGGAAATAATGTTACCTGGTATGCGTATTCCCATGGAATGCATGAGAGGAAGTCAAGAGTGAACCAGGCCTGCAGGTACCTGCGAGATTTCTGCATCAGTGATTAGGGCGTTGATAGAAAATTAGTGTCAATAGCAGAACTAACGCACCTTATTGCAATCCTCCTTCTGTCAGCGATCAGAGTGCCTGTTCGATGATCCTTAACGGCTACTCTAAACGTGATGAAAATGTCCGCCAGAAATATGACATTTGACACAATGTCCATGATTAGTAGACCCAGAGGAGGGAATTTCAGTCGGAAAAAAGCGAACTCGAATGGGGTGATAAGAGAGGAGTAAAGTGCCATGACGATGACGATTAGTCTCCAGTACCAATGGAACCTGCCATGCAAGACCGAATGCGTCATCAATCGAATCTGGAGAATTCATGATATAAGCTTTATTGTTTGATCGCACTCTACCTATTGCCTGGCAATATCAGTTGTCCGGGATAGACATAGTCCCGGAATATCTCGAGCCAGTGGGTTTCCCGGCTAGGCCGTGGCTTGAGTCGTTCCTCGTGCAGCTTGGCTTCGAGAGCAGCTTCTTTGACAACCTTAGCAAGCCGCGAAGCCAACGACGCTGACATGGTGTTTAGGTTCTCTGGGACGGAAAGCTCAAAGTCAGAATTCCCCAGCATGTTGCCTTCCCCGTTAGTCATTTCAGATACTCTGCTTAGAAGCTCCTCTTGTGACGATCGATGCCTAGCTCCTGGCCAGCCCATATTTGATCGGTGAGCTGAGTTTGATCTGCTTCAAAACTACAAGGTCTGAATTGATTTTAGACCGAGTGCATAAAACGTTGCTGATACTAATCGCTCATCCTGGTGCCTGATCGGCTTGCCCAGCAAATAATCGGACGTTGCGTGCAAGACAATCAATACTCACGCCTGACAAGGATGAGACTCCGGAAACCATGACTCACACGAGCAACTGCATCTAAAATGAAGCTTACTAGCTAATAGCTTGGAAGCAGGAACTCGTAGAAACTTCCCCTACACACTAGAAAATCTCAGGCCGAACGAAATCAGACGAATCAAACTCATGTCGGCTAGAAAGGTATGCATGGTGCTCTGCTGGGGGGTGGATCCCTGCTTATCTCCCTTTCCCATCACAACACAGAGTTTTTAGAAAGGTAATGAACGGTTTGGTATGCTGCAATGATACATAGCGTGGTGCGTTTTGGCGAAAGTCACTTTCAAGAGGAGCGTTTCAGACGCTGGTCGGGGAATGGGCGGAGGCGTGGATGTTGTAGGCCTTGACCAGTCTGATTGGCTGTAAACAGGAAAGCATGTCAGCAGGCTGATCCCGCGGAAGCATACGCACCTACTTACCCGGGCCAACATGTAATTTCTGTATGAACACTAAATATCAAAAACAATAATGCTAGAACTGTAAGAACTAAAAAGCTCAGGAAGGGAGCAAAAACCTTGTTGGAAGCTGCACCACCAATCTCATCCACTGACCTTCAATCCATTATAAACGCACCACGTATGAATTGGCATGGGTGACATACCTCACCCAGCGGTATGGATTGTACGCCTTGCCCTTATTCAACACCTGCAAATACCTTACCTGGAGTCTAGATGCGTTGTACATGGGGATATTGAACGACAGGCTAATTGGACCAGTTTCCTTCTTCATGTTCCCTGAGCCCCGCTCCTGATTCAGGGTCATCTTGGCCCGGCATGTATGCTCATTCCCACCACCGGGCATCTTCTTTATAGTCCACTCCAGAATCTTGGACGCATCCTTGAAATCCGTTGACTGCCCCACAGCTCCAGGGTCTAAATCACAGCTCACTTTAATCACGCTCTTGGGCAGCGGCACACGGACGACAATGGAGTTGGCGGTTGCTGTGGCGGGAAACTCTGCCTTTAACTTTATGAACAGCTCTACCTTGAAAGGGGTGATCTCCTCCAGAACCGGATACACCCGGAACGGAGGCTTGAACTCATGCGTCATGCGGTAATTGATGACTGAGAACTCCCCGTCTGGTGGCACGAGAGTCATTGTCCGGTCCACATCAAAGGTATCCAACCGTACGCTCTCATGAAAGTTGCAGTCATCCAGAACAACAATTCCGAATCCTCCGCTTCCATCCTCCCCCATCCCGCCTCCCCCTCCATACAGCAGCGACGCTGGAGCGTTCCTCTGGCCTATAACGAGGTCCTCGTTAAGAGCTATCCTAACTTCAGGATTCGCGGTCAGATAACTCTTCATCTGTATGGTTCCGTCAATCTCACACGTCAGGATGTATCCGTTGGGACTAAAAGTCACGCTCAGCCGTTCGATCACATCAACAAACACCTCCTCCCGCTTCTTTACGCCTGTATCAGGAGCCACCACGGATCTCATCATAGCCGCTCCTGGGACCCGATTCCGACCGCCAGTCATGAACAGCGAAGCAGCAGCTCCCCCAAGCGCAGGAGGAACGATCATTCCACCCCCAGGTACCCCTCCCGGCAGAGGCGACGAGTCCATGATCGGTACTGATTCGTTAAAAACGAACGCTTTAAGCGCCTCCGTGGACATGCTCTGCGGATACCCAAAGTCCATCATTTCGTCGAGCAGCTCATAAACGAGGACGAAGTTCTTCCGAAGAGACTCCTCGTTGAGAATACCGAGGTAGTCCTTGGCAACGCGAGCGATCCGCTGAAGGAGCTCCAGGACGAAAGACGGCGAAACATTTCCGCGGGCCGTGGCGACGAATAGCAGGCCAGAGCACTTAATGTAGAGGTAATTCACTCCATCCAGGTTGAAGATCGGGGGAGCTTCTTCGGCTGCTTCATTGTCGCCTTTCCAGAACCTGAATTTCCGAAAGAAGATCTCGGGGCTCGTTTTCGGCACATCGCAGCGGTAATCTCGAAAGATTATGGAATCGCCGCGGGGAGAGAGGATGAAAAACTGCGAGATCATGATAGGTGAGTCAAAAGCTGCCTGTCGTTCTTCGAACTGTCGCCTTAAACTGGAGGGTGAAGCAGTCTCGTCGCAACCTAATCGAAGAAACGGCGAGAGCTAATAAGGCTAATAAAAAACTAGCCACCTGATTGACTTGCAAGGGTACCAATACTAGTCAACCTAGAACAGCAAGTGACCCTCACCGACCAGATCTAGTGAGCGGGGAGGAGACTGAACTGGAAAAGAAACAGAACAAAGCCAGGAAGGTAAGGAGAAACGGCTTGTACACATTGACCCTTTGTGAAGTGATTCGATAACGACCTATTGTCCATTCGGCACCCCAAATAGCTTATATGGCTATCGTGATATAGAGGCAGCAACAAGCTTTGATTTGATAAGTAATTATGAACATAATAGCTATGTGACGCTTGAAAAACAAACTTTAGAGAGCACCATATGGATGACTAAACGAACCGCGGTTTGTATCTGTTTTCATACGGTACTTTGAAAGGAAGTGATTGTAGGAAAATCTCAACGAAGAGTCTTATCGCGATGTATTTGAAATTTTGGATGGCACCAGCATGTGTGGCCTTATGTTCCGCTGATGACCATTTTCATTTCAATGTCACTGCACAGATTATTTGCATGTAAAGCTCCGTCCCGGCATCCACTCATGCCGCGACTCCAGCTTTCCGAGTTCAGATTTCTCGAGAGTGATTTCTCTCTCAACCGTCGCCATGGCTTCTTTAGGGATTTCCACTTTGTCTAGGGGATCTAGACTTCTGCTGCTTTCAAGGTTGGGGAATTCAATGAGTTGCATCAAACCAAACGGTCTCCTCCATTCAAGCAGCAGAGCGCATGGTCGAAGGTTTCATGTCGCAGGTGCTTGCGAGAGTCGGAGAATGAGTGGTGACGATGGTAGGGAACAAAAGGAAGAGAACCAGGTTGGAATTACATTGCACAGTAGTGCGCTTCCGTTACCGATAGACTCGGCTGCAGCGAGAAGTGAGCCAGCAAAGTCAACGAATGTGTCAGCAGATGCATCAGGAGGTAGGTCAGGAGATGCTTCTGTAGTTACTTCACCAGTTACGTCACCAGTTACGTCACCAGTTACGTCAGCAAATTCGTCAAGAGATGACTCAGTCGGTGCGTCAAGAGATACGTCAGGCCATGTGTCAGGGGATTCGGCAGGAGATGCGTCAGGAGGTGCGTCAGCATTGAAACAGAAGGCAGAGGGCAGCACAATTGATGAGCCCGCTCCAGTCCTACCAAGTTTTGTGGAGGTTAGCTGCTGTAGCGAAGAAGCTCTTAACGAAGCATTGACGGAGCAAGACGAGAAAGCTGAGCGTAAAATACGGACGGCAACTTCAGGGCGGCAGCACCATGATGGTACGACTTTTATACTCGACCGTCCCGTTGCCCCATTGGGGTCTCGTGTCGTTTACTTCTCAGCTCACGGTCTCTTCTTCCGTACAGTTCGTATCCCCGCCCCTTGAAACCTCATGTCTGTATCGCTTCCTTCTTTCTATTTCTATTTCAACCGTCGCTTTCTGAGTCGACTCAAACATCTCTGGGAGTCTGGCTGCTTCACTCGTGTCCTCCACTCTCGCCCTATTCCAACTTCCAGGTTCAGGGGTCCCATTTTTTTTTACTACAGCCCTCACTTCTGATGTTTCTCAACCCATTCCCCACGTAACCTACATTGGTTCTCCAGGGTTCGCCATCCGCGTGGTCTCATACAACGTCCTCGCCCAGGCTTGTGTGTACAGTATACCAGTAGCAACCCGTCTTTTGCTTGTTAGATTATCTTTCGCCTTTCTCTCATGCATTCTAATCATCTGCATCTTTTACAGATTGCTAAAGGTTCTTCTTTCTCATATAATTCCCTGCTTTTGTGTTATCTCCGAGCATGCTTTACCTTTTCCCCGTCTCTGTACCCACTCTCTCCACACCCACTCTCTCCACACCCACTCTCTCCACACCCACTCTCTCTGTGCCCACTCTCTCTGTGCCCACTCTCTCTGTACCCACCCTCGCTGTACCCGCCCCGGCCCTGATCATTCTTGCAGCTGTCTCGCGCAAGAAGTTTCCCGCCTCTCCTCCCCTCTCTCTAAGGTGCACCTCTACTCCCATCTTTCTAAGGTACACCGCTCCTCCCCTCTCTCACAGGTACACCTCATATTTCACATGCTTATTACATTATTTTTTCCCCTGATGTGGCGGGTTATTCCCAGTTGTTTCCTGTTTCCATGTTTCTCTACAACCGTCCCACTTTCACAGCTCTCTAGTCTCAGCTGCGCTCTTACCTAATGCTGTCCACTTTTCGTCACTCCTCCATCTCTCACTCATCTGCACCAGCCAGTCACCTTACCCTTCCACTCCCCTGTCGCCCAGCCTTCACCTTAATCCCGCGTCCACCTTCGTCCCAACCATCAGAAAGAGTTACCGCATCCATGCCCGCCTCTCCCTCCTCAACTCCTTCGCTGCTGATTTCATCTGCGTTCAGGTGAGCCTACCATATTCATTCCCCCCCCCCCCCCACCCATTTCATAGGCTTTTTAAACACCATTCATCCATGGGCTCTTGCTCTTAAACTCATTCAGTTTCGAATTCATTTGATGCTGAAAGGAACAAGGATTCACGGTGCCATTGTGACATATGGCTCCTGTTGCAGTCACTTGCCTAGCTAGAAGAGGCGGTGCTTACAACCCCTTTCGTCTCCATGATTCTCCTTACCTAATTTATTGTAAGGATACACGCACATTCCTCACATTGTGAGTCTCCTGAAAAAAATGTTTTGACTCACATTCCTTACCCTTCCCCCCCCTTTTTTTTCCCTGTCTTTCATTGCCACCCACCTGATGCAATTCCAGGAGATGGAGCACAAGCATTTACTTCACACGCCGATGGCTCTAGAGGGATGGCATGTGGTGTATGCCAAGCGGCCAGGCCCACATGCTGATGGTAGCGGCATCTTCTACCGCTCTGAAAGGTACATACATGCAGGCATGGCCATGTGCAAGAGGGCATACTGTGTGCGTGCTGGGGTGGCCATGTGTTATTGTTGGCAATCTCTGGTCAGAGATTGCCTTCCTTAACTCCACCCTCTCGCCACCACGCCAACCACTTGTAAGTTTCCAACCACACACCCTTGCTCCTCCCACTTTTACCTTTGGCGAATGTTTTCCCACCCTTCATGGCGTTTCAGGTTTCGAGTGATTTGTTCCAGCGTAATCAACTTCAACGACCTCGTCCCTGAAGATGAAGGAACAGACAGTGCTTATACAAGGCCTGCTTATAAGGAGGATGGGGAGCACCATGAGCAGCAGGCCAAGCATCGGGTTGAGAGCCCCCGCATGGAGCATTATCATGGTTCGGGTCATCACATTCATTCATTGGACGAAAAACATCACTTGGACCAGCGGCAGCAGGAGGAGCAGCTGCAAGGGCAGGAGGACCGTCGTGGTTCGGGTCATCACATTCATTGGTTGGACGATCATCACATGTGCAATGAGAAGATCGACCCTGACCATCAAGAAGGCGTCAGTCATAACGAGCAGCATCCAGACCAGCAGCAGCAGGAGAAGGAGGCACAGCAAGGGCAGGAGCATCATCAGCATGATCACCATCATCACCACCAGCAGCATCACCAGCCTCCTGACTTGTCGGATCCTCAGATTCGATTTAAGCGAGACTGCGTTGCTGTTGTTGCTGCCTTTGAAGAGATTAGCCCGCCTGGCTCCTCCAGCTCCTCTGAAACAGCTGGGGGTCCTTCTGCACAGGGCGCACCTGGTGGAGGTCGCATTGTCATCGTGGTCTCGTCCCACATATACTGGTACAATGCAGTGCCTGTCTCCCTCCGTTTCCCCATCCCCATCCCCCCACCCTCCCTCTCCCACACACCAAACCCCAACGCATGTTCCAACCAGTTCCGCCCTGTGCTGTTTAACAAGTGTGGCAGTGTGCGATGTTTGATGTGATGGCATTTAGACGGGCCATCGACCATCGAGCACCCATCCACCTGTTTGCACCCCGCTCCAAACCACTCTACCTCTAAACTTGGGCCATCTCACTCCACTCTATGCTTGGGCCATGTCACTGTATTCGTGGCACCCCACTGTGTTCATGCCATCTCATTGTGTTCTTTGTGACCTCTGCAGGAACCCCAACTGTCCTGATGTGAAACTGGCGCAGGCCCGGTACCTGCTGCAGGAAGTGTCACGATTCAGATCGGATATAGAAGCCCTTTATTATCACCACTGCCACGGGGCATCGCAGCTAAGTGCTGACTTTATGTTAAGAGGAGGCGGTTTTCACGCGGATGGTTCGCGCGTTGAGGGGAAGAAGGAGAAGAATCAAATTCCGGTGGTCATTTGTGGTGACTTCAACTCGAAGCCTGGAGACCCAGTAAGACTTTTCGTGACCTTTTCTGCAGTTTGCTCAGGGTTCAGTTTGCAGTTTCAGCTTCCCTTTGCGCTCCCACGTATAGCACTTTCCTCCTTACTCCACGTGCTCTTCCTACGAATTACTAAAATACATGCCAAATACCCCACTTCTGGCCCTGCACTTCAGGTTTATAGGTATCTTCTTTCCGGCAGCACAAGCGATGAGAGTTACGAAGAAGACTGTAGGTCGGGAGGCGAAGGCTCTGCGGGTGGTTGCTCAGCAGCCAATGATGCGCCGATTCCACTTGCAAGTCTTAACGCGTTGGCGGCCAAAGAGCGATCCATGTGCCATGCTGCTCATACCTCACCAACTGATTGGGAAGACTTGCCACAGAACCTCGAGCCGGCTTTTACAAGCTTCACTTCGGAGTTCAAGGCAACCCTAGACTACATTTTTGTATCTAGAGATTCTGGAGGTTTTTCTGTGCACTCCACTCTGTGGATTCCGAATGATTCCGATTCTCACTTGGCTGGGGGTTTGCCAAACCTGTACTTCCCTAGTGACCATTTACCTATTGGAGGAGATGTTGTATTTGATACGTGAATCTGTTTATAGACTTACTGGTACTAAGGTGCACATGAGCGAAACAGCAGTCGCTGAAACCACTTGTAGACGAGGATATGCAAAAGACATCAACAACAGCGGAGTTGTCGTCCTCCATGAATATTTCCAAGCCTGCCCGTTGTTCATGGGACAGGGTGAGTGCTTGATAACCCAGAGTCCCCCACATAGAAATGCTCGACCTCCGTGACCCCCTTTGAAGCACAGTGATACGGGCAGGTTTTTGGAGCATGGAAGGTTCGAAGGGAACCTTGGTCCTGACGGCTGAGTTACCATACTGTACCCAACCAAACCACTCGTGATAGTCAGACTGAAACCGACAGACACCCACCCACCCACATCAAAGCAGACCCCCTAGAAAATGGATGGAAGCTTGGGAGACAGGCAATGGCAGTATCTAGGTCAAACCGAAAGAAAGCTTACTCGTTTCCCTTCAGTCTCGGACTTTCACACCCGATCTTGTAGAACGTGCGTCAGACCACGGCTGGTGTCCTTATCTTGATGTTCGGTTCGTTGTAGCTGCTGGCTCGGTATAGTTTGCTAATCTCTCTGTCTCATATGGATGCCTGGGTCTGGTTAAGGTTGGCTTTGCACTTGCATTTCCCTGGTTTAGGTTAAACATCACTGTTCCTTCGTGCATCGATTCAGTTAACTTATCTTGCATCGTCATCAAAGCCATGCGAAAAGTGCTCGTAGCATCCCGCTTCCAGTTCGCAATAAAAAGACTGACGGTTTGATCACCATGCTCTTTTGAAAAAGACTTTCAACTGGTACTGTTTCCTCCATTTTTAACGACCGTAGACGTTTCCTGGCCGTATTTCTCAGGGTGTAGGAATATCTGAATAAGATTAAAAGGAAGTACCAAATTAGTCTACAGCTCATTAGGAGCCATGGACGACGAGCCGATCATTCCGATGTCAGACCCAGTGGCGCTTCTGTCCCACATCGAGGTCCCTAATCAGGTAAAATACTTCATCTTTAACTTTTTTGGTACTTAAAGCTGTCTATTTTTGCTACCAACTCTGGGAAACCTCGTGCTCTTTGCTCACGGAAGAAAATATGTTGTCGTCGACTGCTATCGCGTTTTCCGCTTTTGGTTCAGGTTCGGTCCGTTATCATGGGGGGTCCTGGAAACAGCAACAACTCGTACTACGCGTATCTGGAGGCCATAGATCGGCTGCACGGTGCAGTGCGGTTTATAGAGGAGGAGCTAAGAAACGGCCGGTACCTTATTGCTAAGGCGATGGAGAATGTAAAGCAAGACTTCAGCAAGCTGCTAACTAACAGCAGGTAGCTTCACCACCTGAGTTTAATAGCATTTTGCAGGACACAGTCGTTCTTTTAGCGCAAAAAACGTACATCAATAGCACGAGGAGGTGGTTGATTTTTTCTTTAGAAAAGGCGTTAATTTGCGACATCAGGACGTAGGAAAATTCCACTGTTTTCCGTTTGAAAGCACTTAGTCAGTTCAAGCGAATCAGGATATCCTGTTTCGCGACCAATAAAGCTGGTTTCGTCCGTTTTCGTAACCTTGCACGCCAATCATGTCTCTGGTCCTCCATTTCGCTTATGCCGGTTACTCTCCTCAACTCTTGTAACCCGCGTTCTCCGGTGTGACTTTCCAGTTTGTTTCCCAACCTAGACGAGTTGAGGGAGGCGATGCTATCTGAGGAATCACCTGACCACATATCACCGCCGGAGATGGTGGAGGCTGCAGCCATTCCGAAACTACATGCCATGGCCCAGCGGTTGATCGATAACGACTGCGCGCCAGACTGTTGCAAAATGTACCGGTGAGTAAGCCGTGGGCTGAAAATATGGTTCGTTTGTTTCTCGGCGCAGGTCTGCACGGGTTTTGAGAGGTTTATACCCGAACATGACTACTTCGAAACACCTTAGAAAGTCTATTGGCCATTGTACAGTCTCTGGCAGACTTACCTGCACGTCACTACTTAGGTAACACATAAATATCATCGCTGTCGTATCATACATACAGTCTCTGGCCAACTTACCTGCAGATGACTCCTCCGTTCATTGACGTGCAACTTACAGCAGCTGGGCATGCAGCAGGTATCACCAGCATCACCTTATTCTCCCGCCTACGTTCTCGTTTTGATCGACCCGCTCCCCGTCGTCTGCTTTCGCCCGGCTTCTTCCGCCAGCTCGATGCGGGAGGCGGCGTTGAAGCGCAGCTTTTACCGGATGGGCGTGCAGCAAGTGACCTAGAAAATTCTCATTTCCTCCCCTCCCCCCCACACTCTCCCCCCACACCCACCCCCCTTCCCCACCCCCCCCCAATTCCCTTTCTCCTTCCCCTTCCCACCCACCCCCTACCCACCTCATGTTCTGCCTTCCCGTGTCCCCTTCCAACGGAGCAGCGAGATGCGGGAGGCGGCGCTGAAGCGCAACTTCCAGCGGCTGGGCGTGCAGCAGGTGACCAAGGCGGAGATCCAGAGCACCCCGTGGCCGCGGCTGGAGGAGAAGATGCGGCGCTGGAGTGAACACATGCACATTGGGGTATGTGGGAGGGTGGACACATGCACATCGGGGTATGTGGGAGGGTGGTGGACACATGCGCATCGGGGTATGTGGGATGGTGGATACATACACATCGGGGTATGTGGGAGGGTGGACACATGCACATCGGGGTATGTAGGAGGGTGGACACATGCACATCGGGTTATGTGGGAGGGTGGTGGACACATGCACATCGGTTATGTGGGAGGGTGGACACATGCACATCGGGGTATGTGGGAGGGTGGACACATGCACATCGGGGTATGTAGGAGGGTGGACACATGCAGATGCACATTGGGATATGTGGGATGGTGGACACGTGCACATCGGGGTATGTATGCACATCGTTGTATGTAGAGAATTGACTCATGCACTTCGGGGTGAGTGATTGATGTGCTAGCACATGCGCATTAGGGCATGTGCATTCGCGTGGATGAAACCACACAAGCATGCTGCATGCGCATCCTCTCGCCCACCCTCATAGTACACGACCAGGTTGTTAATGTCACTCTAGAAGCCTACCATTCCCTTGCACCCCCTTGCCCTCCCATGGCCCTTCTTGCTCCCCCTCGCCCGTCCTCGGTTCCCCTTGCTCCCCCTTCCTGCCCACCCATCCCCTTGCTCCTCCTCTGCCCCCCTCGGTCTCCCTTTCCCACCTTTCTCTTGCCCCACATTACCCCCGTTGCTTATTTTTTTCGGGGTGTGATGTCGTGTTTACAAAGGCACCTCTTGAACCCTTAGCTTACTCCCTGTTCTGCCAATATAATTCCGCAGATAATTCTGGTAGCGGGGGAGTGAGAGGCATGCGACCAGGTGTTTGCGGGTCTGGAGAAGCACGGCGAGCAGTGCTTTGTGGACATCTCTTGCTCCTGCATCATCCTGCTCTCCCTCTTACCCACCCTCCTAGTCCGCGACCAGGAGACTTGTATCATGTCTGAAGGTGTGCGACTTCGTGTTTAGATTGGATAGGCCATCTTAAAACCCTTGGCTTACCCTTTTTCGACAAACCTTCCCCTTCAGATGATTCTGGTGGCGGGCGAGAGGGAGGCGTGCGACCAGGTGTTTGCAGGCCTGGAGAAGCACGGCGAGCAGTGCTTTGTGGATCTCTCCCGCTCCTGCATCATCCTGCTCACACACTTTGGCGATGCCATCTCAGTCATCAAAAAATCCCCCGAGCGCCTCTTCTCCTTCCTCGACATGTACGAGACAACGCTCGACCTCAAGTCCACGGTGAGTGCTGACTCAGGTCAATGCTAGTCAACATTAGTCAATTATTGAAACTGCATGCTCAAGGCAGAAAGTCCCCCGAGCGCCTCTTCTCCTTCCTAGACATGTGGGAGACAACGCTCGACCTCAAGTCAACGGTATGCACCTAGTCAACGCTAGCCAACGGTACTCATGCATGCATGCCAAGTTAGGAGTTCCTCCCAGCGCCTCTTCTCCTTCCTCAACATGTACGAGACAACGCTCGACCTCGAGTCCACGGTATGTCCTGGCTTGAGTAAACGCCAATCAATGCTAGTTGATGGTGCATGATCAAGTCAACACCCATGCCCTTCCTTTCCAACCCTCTTCCTTCCTCCCCCCCTCCAACTCCTCCCCTCTTCCCTCTTCCCGTCCCCCACTCTGTGACTATAGGTGGATGAGCTATATCGAGCAGAGGAGGGCAGGGCAGTTCGGGACAACTACCAGGAACTGCTGACGATTTTGGGGCGGGCAGCCCGAGACACGTTTGAAAAGTTTGAGGACGCGGTGAAGGCACAGCCGACGGCGGAGGATATGAGCGGCATGGGGGGCATGGGCGGCATGGGGGGTATGGGCAGCATGGGTCAGCCTGGAAACGTCCCCCGTGCGGAGATGCTTCGAAACGGAGGGTTCCTTAACAAGCTAAAGAAGTAAGTGCTTTTTTTCCCCCTTTATTTTCTTTCTGATTTTCTTGATGCAGACTGCGCAACTACTTTCAGGTTGTCTCATTTGATGCTTGTTCTTCCTGTCACCCTCATCTTCCTCTTCATTCAACGCCATTCCCCCGTTATTCCCCCCAAAGCCCGATGAACGAGGTTGACAGGCTGCAGCGGAACGTGGCAGCGGATTCCGGCTCTCTCCTCCCTTCACTCTCATCCCCCCTTCTCTCTCTTCCCCCCTTCACTCTCATCCCCCCTTCGCTTTCCTACTGACTTCGGTACCCCCCTTCCCGACCCAGGATGATGCTGAAGCCAGACGACAATATGAGCGAGGTGGGTGGGCAACAAAGCTCGGCAGCGTGATGCTTGTAACTCATTACCCCTTCACTTCCCCCCCCGCACCTGTCCTCTGCTCCCTCCGTTTCCCACCCCCTGCCTTCCCCAGGATGATGCTGAAAGCAGACGACAATATGAGCAAGGTGAGCGGGCAGCAGGACGTGGCATCATCATGCATCATCTCCCATCCCCTCTTCTCTTTCCTCCTCATTCCCCTTCTCCCAGGATGATGCTGAAGGCGGACGACAATATGAGCGAGGTGGGCGGGCAGCAGGACGTGGCAGCATCCAACGCCAGTGGGGACGTGCACCCCATCACCAGCTACGTGGTCAACTACCTGCTGCTGCTCTGCAACAGGTGAGCATGGGTGCAGAGAGGTAGAGTGGGGTGGGGGGGGTGGTAGTAAGTGGTTCAATTCACGCCAGTGGGGACGTGCACCCCATCACCAGCTGCGCTGTCAACTGCCTGCTGCTGCTCTGCAACAGGTGAGCATGGGTGCAGAGAGGTAGAGTGGGGTGGGGGTGGTGGTAGTAAGTGGTTCAATTCACGCCAGAGGGGACGTGCACCCCATCACCAGCTGCGTTGTCAACTACCTGCTGCTGCTCTGCATCAGGTGGGGGGGCTGGGAGAAGAAGTACGATGGGGTGGCACGGGGGAGGGTGGTTGGGGAGGGTGGCTGGGAAGGCGGTGATAACACATGTTGCAGGGACGTGCACCCATCACCAGCTACGTTGTCAACTACCTGCTGCTGCCCTGCAACAGGTGGGGATGGAAAAGAGGTGGCGTGGGACTGGGAGGGGTGGGTGGAAATGATGGGGGTATACGTGCCCCAAGGCACCTTAATGGATGCAACCCAAACACCGTCTACATCGTCAACTACCTGCTGCTGCTCTGCAACAGGTGAGCGTGTGTGGGAATGGGATGGGGAGGTTGGTGGGGTTACATGCTCTGATATGAGCATGGGAGGATGGGTTGGTTATACCCATCTCCACCCACCCGCCCGTCCACATACACACACATACACCCATCCCCTCCCCCACCGTCCCATCCGCACACGCGCTCCCACCCCCACCCACACATCCCACCCTCCATATCCCTCTGCATCCCGCTGCCCACCCCGACCCCCACAACCATCCACTCAAACACACCCCCTGCGACTTGCCGCACTTGTCCATCCTAGAGTGCGTGTTTGAGGACATGGCCAACACAGGAAGGCAACGAGGCAAGCAGCTTCACCATCACTGACCCGTATTCCTCTGCATTTCTTCCCAACAACCCCCACCCACATACACCCACCCACCCACCCCCTCCCCCAGCGACCTGCCGTACTTCTCCATCCTGGAGTGCGTGTTTGAGGACATGGCCAACACCGCCAACGAGGCCGGCTCCTCCATCATCACGCCGCGCGTGCAGGGCCGCCTCGCCTTCGCTGCTGCTCGCATCCTGGAGGCCCTCAAAGTCAACCTGCAGCACCGCGCTCTCATGCTGCGCGATGACGCACTGGGAGAGCTCTTTTTGATGAACAACCTGGCCTACGTGCTCACCAAAATAGACGCGTGAGTGCCTAGCTTTTGTGACTGCTGGAGTCCCCGTTTGCATCCTAGAGGCGCTCTTTGCTGTTCGCTGCTGCGCGCATCCTGGAGGCCCTCAAAGTGAACCTGCAGCACCGCGCGCTCATGCTAAGGGATGACGCCCTGGGGGAGCTGTTCCTCATGAACAACCTGGCTTATGTGCTCACCAAAATAGACGCGTGAGTATGAAAACGTGGGCTGCTGCGCGCATCCTAGAGGCCCTCGTTGTGAACCTGCAGCACCATGCGTTCATGCCAAGGGATGACTCGCTGGGGGAGCTGTTTCTTATGAACAACCTCGCATACGTGCACACCAGAATCGACGCGTGAGTATCGAGAAGCGTGCATTCTGGAGGCTTGTTTCAAAGGTATCCAAGAGGCCTGTAGTGAGTGAGTTTGCACGGTCCCACTCCACCGCCCCGTCAACCCACCGTCTCTCACCCCACCATCCCTCACCACCGTCCATCCATTCCCCACCCACTCACTACCTCCCCTTTCCTCCTCCCTTTTTCCTGATCTGCCCTTTTCCCCATGCTTCCTTCCCCCTTATGATGCACACACAGTGCGGACGCAGGCAGGTTGCTGGGAACGGCATGGATTGGCAACTACGGGGCCATAGTGGACAGCCATCGCGACCGCTTCATCAACTCCTCCCTCGCCAAGGTGTGCACTGCTTGCGAGTATGTGCCTCCCTCGCCTATCCTAGGTTTGCCTTGCTGCTTGGTGTGTGTGTTGACAGGTAAGGTGGACCTCTCTTGCGAAAATTCTCTCTACGCCTTTTATTTACAGAGCTTAGCTGCTTCATATTCAAGACTTCGCTCCCAAATTTCTCGCGTGACTGCGTTTCCCCATGGTGTTCCATGAGCAGTTTGACCCGCTGTGGTCCGATGACCGCCACGACCACTCTGCTGTCTTCCATTAAACCCCACCCCCGCTTCCCCCTCCAACCCCCCCTTCCCCCTCCAACCCCCCCTTCCCCCTCCAACCCCCCCTTCCCCCTCCAAACCCCCCCTCCCCCCCCCCTCCTAACCCCCGCCATCTCCCCATGAGCAGTTTGACCCGGTGTGGTCCGATGACCGCCTCAATCACTTCGCTGTCTCTCCCAACACCTCACTTCCCCCCCCCCCCCATTTCTCCCCCCAACCCCCCCTCCTAACCCCCGCCATCTCCCCACGACCAGTTTGACCCGGTGTGCTCCGATGACCGCCTTGACCACTTCGCTTTCTCCCAACACCCCCTCCCCCCACGCGTCTCCCCATGCGCAGTTTGACCCGGTGTGGTCCGATGACCGCCTCGACACCGCCTCTCTCGTAAAAAGGTGTGTCCTGTCACGCGATGCTGTCCTTAGATATAGAATGTGTCTCTTCTGACTTTTTTCTCATTCCAATTATCCCCCATCACACCCACCACCAACCCCCCCTTCTCTGACAATCCACTGATCCGCTCCTTTCTTCACACACCCAGCCACTTCCGCCCCCCTCCTTGTTGACTGTCTAATATTTTGTCCGCCCATCCCCTTTACAGGCTCAAGCTCTTTAACTACACAGTGGAGCAGATGAAGCAACGCTACATGGCGTGGACCATTCCTAACCGGGAGTTGCGGGCGCATGTCAAGAAGATGACTCTTAAACGGTTGCTGGACAAATACAGAGACTTCATCGTTCGGCACAGGTAAGTTGGGAACTGTTTTTGTTGAGACGCCACGTAGTGCACCCCCCTGCCTGCACGTCAAGAAGATGACACTCAAACGGCTGCTGGACAAATACAGAGACTTCATCGTTCGGCACAGGTGGGTGGGACTGCCTTTGTTGAGGTGCCTTTTCTACCGTTTGGGTTACCAGGGCCCTCAGAAATTGAGTCTGTGCCATCCCCCTTTCCTGGTTCAGAGTCACAAGACCGTAAGGGTCTTGTGTAGACAGGGTTTTGAGTGGCCTCAGAATATTGCAAATGCTCCCCCCTTCCCTTCCCTGCCCTTCCCTCCCCTCGCTGCAGGAACGTGATTCAAAGCCATCGGACTCTGGATGTGAGAGTGTTCACGTGCGAAGAGATCGAGCAAATGCTGCTGCCTTGCTTTGATACCGGGCCTTCTAGAGTCAAATAAAACAAGACCGCTGCGGCAGATTACGATATTTCAGGTTTCAAGTACCGTAGGAAAAGCATAGCTTGCTATAAGTAGTTTGTGAGTTCCTTGCCCAGCACTAACTTTTTGGTGATTGGCAGGTTTTCAGAAAGACCAAGTCGCAACACCCGGTTGTCAGATGGGACTGGGTGTATTACTCATCACCCGACAGTATATCCAAATGCTGGTAATAAATGGTACCATTGTCACCTGTCTGAGATCCCTTAGATAGTGTAGTCTTTTGTTTCAGTGATTAGTACCAGCAATGAGCTGTGTTCTGATCTTAGCAATTTTGCATGTCATTTATGACTAACCGGGAATCTACAACTAAACAACAAACTTTCGCTACCCATGCTACAGACGTTACTCCTAGAATCTACACCCGCATATACCAGGAGGCTGCAAACTTCCAAATGAACATTCTGTTCTTCATCCGCACATCCCACCTGCTCACTGGAAGCTTGCCCAAGTGCCTTCCACCCAACCAGTGCAAGGGTCACAAGACGCGACCGTATGCACGCAGCAGGGCAGGCAGAGACAATCACTGGGCACACATGAGGTGAAGCACTCTGAAGCGCACATGAGGTGAAGCAATCCACACTACAGAAGCATGGTTACTGCAGCAGTGACTCACGATCTTGACCGGAGGCGGCAGGTCAAATGCCTTGGCCGCTACGGATGCCACCACAGATGCCACATTCGTGATGCTACAGATGCCACAGATGCTTCTCGCATGATATATTGGTACGACTTTTGAGAATTCTCAAAAGTCGTACCACTACAGAAGCCGAGTACTCTGCAGCTACACGGACTGCCTCGTCTTCATCACACTGCTCCAGCTGCTGCTACAACGCAACTCGGAGTTCACACCCAGCTCTGAGTCTTGCTCACTGTGAGTAACTCAGAGGCACCCCTTCCCATGAAAAATCAGTAGCCTTTTAAAATCTCTGTCACCGCTTCACACCTCCCTTAACCTTTCCAGCAGCTCCGAATCCTGGCTGTCACTCAGAAGCACAGACAGCGGCCCCGAACCTCCACCATCCATCAGGCACGACGACGAAGCTGCCAGCCCATCCGCCACCGCCCCTACCGAGCCTCCGCCGCCGAAGCTACTAACCAGCGCCGGGTCTCGGAATCCTCCCGAACCTGCTCCCTCCATCGCAGAGTAATCCAGCAACCCCTGATGGGACATTAACTCCTGCTCCTCCTTTACCCCCAAATTTTCAGGGAAAGAAGTGATTCCGCCCAGAGACGCGCCTCCCCCAGACATACCCCCAGCCACCCCGTCAAAACCACCCACCCCAGGTAACCCTCCCCCCAGGCTCCCCCCAACACCCTTCCCCCCGCCACCATCCATCTCCGCCTGCATACTAGACGCCTCGTTATAGCTATAATTCTGCAGCAACTGCTCGTTTTCATCAGTCAATAACGAGTACAGCCCGTCCCAGTCCTCCCCCTCGCTGTCCTCCCCATCCTCCACAGCGGCTCTTAAAGCCACCTTCCTCCGCATCTCCTCAAACACTGACCGCTCCACACACGCCTGCTTGTCCCCCACCAGCCAGAGGGACCGCTGCGGGAAGAAGATCTCCCGGGCGGCACGGAATCGTGAGAGCGAGGGGCAGTCAGATAGGACAAGAAGCTCCACTGGGTCGCCGCGGCTCAGGCGCACACTCTTGTGAGGCGGCACCACTTCCATCTGCATGGCAAGAATGGGGTGGATGGGGAGAGAGAAGGTGGGGGAGGGAGAGAGGGGGACAGGGATGGATGGATAGAAATAGCGGAGATAGAGCAAACATGAGTACAGGAGCTGTCCGTAAGCTAAAAAGCGCGGTGGCTACTAAGCAGCTGGTCTTGGAATTGAGGTGGAAAAACATATTATTCCCAAGTAGCCGCTAATGCGAAGGCGCAACTGACCTCCAGGGTAGTGCGGCTGTGGTCGCCAATCAGCACGCGCCACCTGGTCTGCCTCCCCACACGCACCACCTGCAAGTCCAGCAGCCGCGCCTTCCACAACCCTGACGGCAGGCCGGGGGGGAGAACGGGAAAGAGGGAATGAGAGTGAGTGAGTGCGTGAGTGAGTGAGTGCGTGAGTGAGTGAGTGCGTGAGTCCAGCAGCCGCGCCTTCCACAACCCTGACGAAACGACGGAATGAGAAGAGGGAGTGAGAGGGAATGGGAAAGAGGAAATGAGAAAGAGTGAGTCAGAGTGCGAGAGAATGGACGCAGCAGGAATGGAAAAAAGAGGCGGAATTTGAAAGACGGAGAGGAGGAAAAGAGGACTCTTCAGCATTATCACCCTCCATTTCCCCTTCCCACCCTTCCCCCCATTACCCCACCCACTTCCCCCTCCTCCCCCATTGCACTCACCAGCATGTCTGTAACGAACGCGCATCGCTAGATTCTTCGCCACAGCGCGCCAGATCGGCCACCACGCCCAGTAGAACGCGGCAGTCGCGGCGGCGATCACGCTCACACTGTACAGCGCCACGGCCAGACCCATCGACACCACGAACCGCCTCACCCACGCCGCCGGGCCGCCCAGCATCTGCAGCACCTGCGGCCCGGACCCCGCCAGCGGCACCAGCAGCGCCAGCGCGCCGTCCGCCAGCGCGTGGACGGCCGGCAGGCGCCGCGGCCGGACGGCAGGGCGGCCGGCAGGGATGTCGGCAGGGTGGTGTTCGTGCGGGCGAGCGGGGGAGAGGGCGGGCGGAGCCTTGCGCTCGGGCAAGGGGGCGAAGTGAGGGGCTCGGCGGGCCAGGGAAGGGGGGAGCGTGGGCGTGGGGGAGGTGGGCCGCGCGGGGAGGGATTGCGGCGCAACAAGATCGGGACTGCGGAGGTGCGCCGGGGGAGCGGAAGTAGGTGCGGAAGAGGCGGAGCGGGTTCGGGAAGCGGAACGGGAATACGCGGGGAGTCGGCGGGAGGGAGGCTTGGCGGTGGTGGGAATCGGGTTAACAGCAGCGGGCTTGGCGCCAATAGCCGACAGTATAGAGTCATTAAGTGATTGCTTGAAAGCAGCTGAGGACGATAACGGGGCTGCTTGTACCGAGGACACTGCGGGCGGCACAGATCCAGTTGTAACTGGCGCAGGTTCGGCTGCGGAAGGCGCGGATGGGGCTGCGGGCGGCGCAGCCGCGGTCTTCAGGAAGGGGGAGAACGCGGGGGCGGCGACCCGACGGCTCAGTCGCGCGGACGACGCGGGCGCGCCAAACCCGTTCCCGGGCGCGGGGAAAGACGCGCAAAACCCTTCGCGCACATGGAACAGCGGCAAAGTCACTGCGCCAGGGTTTAGCAATGGCCGAGCCGTGCCCTTACCGCGGAACATTTCCGGCGGCGCGCGTGCTGAAGTGGCCCGCGCTGACGTGGCAGAGACCGACGAAGGAAGATGCTCGAAAATTCCCAAGGGCTTTCGTAAGTGCACAGCAGAGTCGGAGAATCTTGGTAAAACAGAAATCGTTGGCAGAGCTGACGGAGTCGGCAAACCGCTTAGCGAACCGGCTAGCAGGCCGGTATGTGTACCGTTGGTCAAGACGGACGCGCTCGGAGCACCACGCGGTAAACCCTCTTCGGCAAAATCTGGGAACCGCTGCCGAGCCGAAACGGCGCCTGCGCCGCCGCCACCACCGCCACCGTCACCTTCGCCGTCATATCGACAGTCGGCTAGCCGATCAATCTGGCGATCAGTCAATAGCGCGGCGGGGCCCATCGTGCCGCTCTCCGCCATGGCCTCCGCGAGCTCCGCGCCGGCCGCCGTCATATCTGCCGCCGTCTCTGGCGTTTTCTCATCTACTACTGCCAAGTCCCTACTGTCCCATCGGCCGGGAAAGCCGGAAGACTCGGTTGCGACGCTTCCGCTGCTTCTGCGACCTAGCGTCGCGGTCACTCCGCGGGCAAAGGTAGGCGAATCGCCGTCGTCCCAATCCCCGTCCCGACTTTCCGCTTCCCATATGGCCTCAAATTCCCCAAATCGGCCGCCTGATGCTGACGTGGAAACGGAGCGCGAAAAGGAGCACCTCCGCCTTCCCGGAGTCATCGCTTCGTTCGCGAATACTATTTTTTCGCCATAGAACTCAGAGTGGATGCCAGGAGAAGTTGCCGATGGGCTCGGCGTGAGTGAGGCCGGTCGAGAGCCTGCATCAGTGGACCATCGCCGGCCTTTGTACTTGAAGCTCGAGCCTGAATGGAAACTGTACGAGCGGGTGAAAGTCGCTTCGCCAACTTCTCGAGCTTTTTCGCGACCGGAGAAGCCGAAAGGAGTCCGTGGGGAGACGAGGGAGGAGGGGGAGGACGGAACGGAAGCGGGAGCGGGGGAGTGATGCGAGTGATACGGGCACAAGAGGCTGCTGTGAGCGAAGGAGCACGCGCAGAGGTTTCCCGGCGACGCCATAGTTACGGTTCGGGAGCGACTGCGGTACGGGAACTCCGAGGCGCAGCTGCAGGTTCGGCTAAGGCGAGCAGAAGGTGGGTGATTTACCGCATGCTTGACGGATCGCGCGGTCGTATCGATTTTGAGTAGGCCTTTGAACTTCATATACTTGCTGACTGAACACTCAGCAAAAGAGAGACCGAAAAAGAAACAGATTCGCCTACTAGGCTACTGCCTCTTAGCTGGCGACAGGGAAGACGCGCTGTCTCCTCGAAGGAAGACCTGATTGCGTTTTAGTGAAGAATTGGGGGAACTAGGTATGTGGGGCTGGGCTCTTTTCACTCGTTCTTGTACGGGAAGGATTTGTGAAGAGTTGGAAACTCAAGCGCTGACGGCGGACCTAGAAACTAGCAGCAGGAATGGGGAATCGCCTTGCCTAGAAGCTGCTGGGGTCCAGAAAGTAGACTTCACGGAAAGTAGTTTCTGAATCCCGAGACGAGACGTGTCGCACACAGCGGATTAATTCACTGTAAGATCGCACACACACAGAACCCATGTAAATTGCGACAGTTCAAGTTAGGTGTGCGACTGTAGAGGAGACAATGAGGGATTTTCAGGGGCAGGTGCAGTGGTGTGATTGGAGAAACGAGTCGCGAGGGTGGACTGTGCGACCCTATCTTCTGGAGGTTGCCGTGCCGTTCCCGCTACGGACGGCTTCCAAAGCAAGGTGCACCACACATCACATTGCGGTCATCTACCAGCCGACACGTGAAAGTTTTCAGGGGTGTCGATGCCGCGGGTTTTGGGCACTGTTTCTTCCTTAGGGTTCAGGTTCTTTTCCTGACAAAACACGGATAACAAGTGTTACCGCTAACGAAAGCACTAAACCGAACAAGCCCGTGACCGATCTTCTTGGGTCAGTGGCTGCCAAGATTGTTTCAAGCGCAATCTGGGCAGCCACGTCAACTCATTCCACTTTATGTACGGCACCGGAGTCCCGCTCTGCACAATGGCGCGCTGTAGTGCGATGATTGGCTGACGAAGGGTCTGGGCTTGGCTGGGGCATTTTTTTTACAGGAATGTGGCGGGAGGTTTTGCTGCCCAAGGAACGACAGTGTGGCAGGGTTGGATGGCAGTCATCTGCATTTTTGTTGGCAGGGGAAATTCGTGATGATTTGTGGAACAATCGATCGGTCCATACCATTCCCAACCTCGTCTAAAGCTGTAGGTGTATACCTCTTAAACTGTACGGTCCTTACAAAATCTCAATAGTCAGATTACGAAGATCGTCATAACGGGTTTCTCACCAACCAACCACATCACAGACCTCTCCATGCCCCAGTCGAGACCTCACACATAACACCACTAGAACTGGTTTTCAGTTGTAGGTCGAAAGAGTCATGACTAGTAGAACCATGCAACATCCTTGCAGCAGCATCAGCGTGGCTTTCAAGAGCTAGGTTTCTGACCTGACCATAGTGAGAAGCCGCAATAATTTATCGGTTTAAGCGGTACGTGTGACCGTAAGGTGTTAGTTTCCTCCCTCCACGACTGAATACTCCTCGCGGAGGGAGCTCCGCGGCTCCCGTGGCTGGTTTGAAGCGGTCGGCGGACGGCGCAATAGACGGCAACATGAGTCTCTTCGGCGTGGGCCGGTATGCGCTTAACCTTTAAGCCGCAAATGGCTGAGGTTTCATATCCAGAATAATACAAGGATGTTTAATTTCATTCGTATCCTCTTATTTCTGGTTTTGTTATTTCATGCCGCTGCTCGATCTGCAGGCCACATAGCTGGCTATGTTATTGAAATGTCGTCCTTTTTTGTCGCAGGAATCAGCGGACGTTCCGGCCGAAGAAAAGCGCGCCGTCAGGAAGCAAGGTACGATTTTTTTAGGTGCATTTTTTCCAGTTGCTTTAGAGGTAGTTGACAATGCCTGTTTCTTTTTGCTCGTCGCATGCTCCGCCAGTTGTTGCATTGTTCGTGTATAAGAAGTGATTGTAGACGACAAAATAAAAACATTGATTGTTGTCACACCTTATCTGAAACGTTTGGCGGGAATGATCGTACACGACGATGCAGCTTCTGCATCGTTCGTACCCAATTTTTTTGTCCGATCGTCTTCAGCAGCTGGGCGAGCACATCGACTCCAGGATAAAACATCGTCTAACCATCTGTACCCCATCCTTCCTAATCATATCCCCTAATTTTCGTCCGTGCAGGGTCAGCAGCTCCGCAAGCACATCGATGCCACGCTCGGCAGCGGCAACCTTCGGGAGGCCGTCAGGCTTCCGCCAGGCGAAGACCTCAATGAGTGGCTCGCCGTCAACAGTGAGTTGAATCAGACAGCTTGCCGTTACCTCGTCTTCCCGTTGAACGGCCGTCGTGCCGCTAACTATTGTCTCGCTTTCCGTTTGACTGTTAATGCAAGTGTTTGTGATGTGACTCCTTCGCTTTTTGTCTCTCAGTTGCGTCCCAATGGATGCACACACCCGCAATAATGAGGTATCTTTTCCATCCATTATCTCTCTTCCGCTTTTTTATCCCAGCCGTTGATTTCTACAATCAGGTCAATTTGCTCTACGGCACACTCACTGAGTTCTGCACGCCGGAACACTGCCCCACTATGTCCGCCGGTCCCAAGTAAGCACTCCAACGTACCAATCAGGTTCTGGAAAGAAGTCGGACGTTCGTTCTGAAAATCACAAACTCGGTCTCGTCAATGCAAGGTAAAAAGTTGGAAATTGCCTTTTTTTGTCTGCTCGTGCCAACCTGTCTGGCAGGTACGAGTACCGGTGGGCGGACGGCGTGCACGTGAAGAAGCCGTTGGAGGTGTCGGCGCCCAAGTACGTGGAGTTCCTCATGGACTGGATCGAGACACAGCTCGACGACAGCACCATCTTCCCCCAAAAGCTAGGTCCGTGCTGCAGTCACTAGGGCTAATCCCACAATGGCTACTCCAATAATGGCTTGCTCAAACTGTATTCCCTCAGCCCCTCGCTTCTGACCCCCATCCTAATTTCCCTTTCTGCGCCATTCCATTACCATGCATCCCACTCCATTGGTTCGCACCACAGGAGTTCCGTTTCCTCCGCACTTTGAGAAGGTGGTGCGCACGATCTTCAAGCGGCTGTTCCGAGTGTACGCGCACATCTACCACTCACACTTCCAGCGCATCGTCAGTCTCAAGGAGGAGGCTCACCTCAACACCTGCTTCAAACACTTCATCCTCTTCACACATGTGAGTTGCCCCTGTCTGGCTTGTCATTCTTTCTTTCCCGCTTTTTGCCTCCAAAAACCACTCCCCTCCATCCCACCCCCGCTTCTGTGCTCCATACCCCCTCCCCCCCCTCCCCCCTCCTCTCTCTCCCCCCCTCCCTCAAGGTGCCAAATCTCTGCCACCTCTCCTCCTTTGTTCCTGTCCCATGCTTCTCTCGTGTTGCAAATGTTTCCTGTTTCTTGGCACCCTGCTTTGCTGAGCATTTTATTTGTTGTGTTGGTCATCACTTCTTCCCTTACCCCATGTCAGGAGTTCAACTTGATTGACAACAAGGAGTTGGCGCCGTTGGAAGAGCTTATAGATTCAATCACATAAGCATCTGGTCTTGACATCTTCCTGTAAAAGCGTGGAAGTGCTTGATTGTAGTCAACTTTTTTTTTGTCCGAGTACAGGAGTTACAGAGTCTCATGTTCACAGCTGTAGAGGTAATGTAATGAATCAGTCAGTCAGAATGTGTTAATTGAGATTGCGCACACATTTGTGTGTGCATGATGCTCTTTTATTGCACTTCCAGTACCAAAAAGGCAAAAAGGCTTCCACGCAGGCCCCATGTAGTCAGAAATTTCTCTGATTTGCCTATAAAAGTCTGATTTCTCAGACTTTTTTTTTAGTGTTGTTTGTTAAATTCAGACTTTTTTTTTAAGTGTTGTCTGTTAAATTCAGAGTTTTTTTTAAGCCAAG